ACCGCAGCCTCCACCTCCTGGGCTCAAGTGATGCTCCCGCCTCAGCCTCCTGAGTAGCGGGGACCACTGTGTTGCCCAGGCTGGTCTTGAACTCCTGGCCTCAAGCTATCCTTCCTCTTTGGCTTGCCAAAGCTCTGGGATTACAGGCGTGAGCCACTGCGCCCGGCTTCCCTGGAGTGAATCTTGTCTCAACTGGCCTGGAGTTTCCAAGAGTTTTCCAGTCTTTTGGGGGTTGCAGGGGTGGGGTGAGTCACTTTTAATTTTTGTGTTGGCAACTCTGGATGCTATTAGGGATTTTGGACTGTGGTCTCTCTTGGAATCATGGAATTTTATTAAGGATTGATTTGGTGGTTATTTTTTAAGTGTCTCCTGTGTACCAGGCATGGCTGTGAGTGCCGGGGGTGGGGGTTACGGCCAGCCAGCAAACCCAGGCTGCCTGTGCAAAGGTCGGAGGAGGGACTGGAAATCGTGATTTGGAAGCAGCAGCAGCCAGGAGGTGCCTCTGTGGGGTTGGAACAGAATGTGCTTCGGGCGGGGTGGAGTTAGGAGATAAGGGTGGAGCCGATCCTGGTACCCCCAGACCCTGGAGTCCATGGCCAGCCCTGTGGTATGGGGGTTTCTGAACCCAGTGGCGCTCTGCGGCCCACAGTCTGGGGCTTGACCAAGCAAGCGTTACGGTTTTTCGTTTGTTTTTTTTTTGAGATGGAGCCTCGCTCTGTCACCCAGGCTGGAGTGCAGTGGCCGGATCTCAGCTCACTGCAAGCTCCGCCTCCCGGGTTCACGCCATTCTCCTGCCTCAGCCTCCCATGTAGCTGGGACTACAGGCGCCCGCCACCTCGTCCGGCTAATTTTTTTGTATTTTTAGATGAGATGAAGTTTCACCGTGTTAGCCAGGATGGTCTCGATCTCCTGACCTCGCGATCCGCCCGCCTCGGCCTCCCAAAGTGCTGGGATTACAGGCGTGAGCCACCGCACCCGTCCTGTTTGTTTTGGGACACGGTCTTGCTCTGTTGTCCAGGCTGGAGTGCGGTATTGCAGTCACAGCTCACTGCAGCCTCAAACTGCCCAGGCTCAAGGGATCCACCCACCTTGGGCTCTCAAAGTGCTGGGATTACATGAGTCCCTGCGCCTGGCCTGTGTGTTTTTCCTTGCCAGAAAAGTCCCCATCCAAGAGCCCCTCCCCCAGCCCACTTCCCAGGTGCCGGGTGGCTGCTGTGCTCGCCTTCCTCGCCCCCCGCCCCCCCAACCACCGCCCGCTTCCCAGGTGGCTGCCTAATCCCCCCACGCTGAGTGGCTGGGCCCTTGGATCCTCCGTGGGAGGCCCAGCTGTGACAGCTAATCCATCTCCACAATTAATGCCATTTGCTCTGGCCAGGCCGATTAGCTCTGGGGGGGCTGCTCCAGCCCCCCTCTCATCCTGGCCCTGGGGATGGGGGACATTAAGGGAGAGGTGGGGGGGCCCAGGCATCACCTGAGCTTCTGGGGCTGTTTTCTGGCTCCTCTTCTGCTGGGAGTGGGGGATGTGGATAAAATCAAGTGTCTTGACTCTGTTTCTGAAGGAGGCAGTTCACATCCCAAAGGCTGTGGGCCTTGCTGGCTTAGACCCAACACCTCGCACACTGGGGTCACCGGTGGACGGCTGCTTTTCTTGGTCATTTACCTGCTGTGTGACTTTGGGCGAGTGTCTTCACTTTTCTGAGCCTCAGTTTACTAATCTGTCATCACAGGTTTTTTTGTTTTGTTTTGTTTTTTTTGGATACAGGGTCTCACTCTGTCGCCCAGGCTGGAGTACAGTGGTGCGATCTCAGCTCACTGCAACCTCTGCCTCCTGGGTTCAAGCGATTCTCTCACCTCAGCCTCCTGAGTAAGCTGAGATTACAGACGCGCGCCACCACCCGTGGTTAATTTTTGTATTTTTTTGGTAGAGACGGGGTTTCACCGTGTTGGCCAGGCTGGTCTGGAACTCCTGACCTCAAGTGATCCGCCCACCTCGGCCTCCCAAAGTGCTGGGATTCCAGGCATGAGCCAATGTGCCTGACCTAATTTTTTTTTTTTTTGGACAGAGTCTTGCTCTGCTGCCCAGGCTGGAGTGCAGTGGTGCCATAACGCCAACCTCGACCTTCTGGACTTAAGTGATCCTCCTGCCTCAGGCCCGAGTAGCTGGGACTACAGGCATGTACCAGCACACTGGTTAATTTTTAAATTATTATTATTATTATTATTTTGTAGAGACAGAAAAAAAATAGTCTTATTTTTGTTCACAGTCTCGCTATGTTGCTCAGGCTGGTCTTGAACTCCTGAGCTCAAGCGATCCGCCGGCCTCAGCCTCCCACAGTGCTGGGATCACAGGCGTGAGCCACCCCACCTGACGCGTCACCACAATTGTGTCTGCCTCCTGGGTGACATGAGGATGAAACGAAATAGGATTTTAAGGGCTCAGGACTCCACACACCGTAGGGGTGAGCTCTGCATCGCTGGGAGAAACCAAGCGGGCTATGGCTGTGGTAGGGCTCCTCTCGGAGATCCTGGCTGGCCTTGACCCTGAGGACCACCCCTGCCCGGCCCACAGGCCCCTGCCCGGCTGCCTGCCTGCCCCAGCCAGCTCCCAGGTAAAGAGACTCTCGGCTCCCAGGCGGAAACAGCACTTCATCAACCAAGCCGTGCGGAACTCAGACCTCGTGCCCAAGGCCAAGGGCCGGAAGAGCCTCCAGCGCCTGGAGAACAGTGAGCAGCGGTCGGGAGGCGCCTCTTGGGGGCTCCTGGGCCTTGTAGAATGGCGTGCATGTTGGTGTTATCTGATACCCCTCCCACGAGCTGGGCCTGGGCAGGGCTGGGGACCCAAAGAGGTGTCAGCTGTAGGCCAGGGGACCGTATATAAATAGAGCCAGACACAGGTGCCCCCTGGACTCTTGGATCAGGGCTGGGTGGGAGGGCGCCCCGGGCATTGGAGCTGGGGCTTTAAAGGATATGTAGGAGTTTGACAAACCAGAACCTGGACTCTATCTAGCTGGTTTCTGTATCTTCTGGGGAAGACAGTCGGAGCATGGAGGTGGGGAGGCTGAGATGATAGAGAGGGAGGAAGGCTAGTTATTGGGTCCCCATGGTGCCTGGAGGTCCCCGAATGCCACCCCGGCCCAGAAAGCATCTGTTTCCATCTAGCCCAGTACCTCCTGACCCTGCTGGAGACAGACGGGAGCCCACCTGGCCTGGACGATGGGGACTTGGCACCCCCTGCATCACCGGGCATCTTTGCCGAGGCCTGCAACAATGCCACCTACGTGGAGGTGCGGTCCCCGACCCCCTCACTCCTTCCACGCGGGGACCCCGGCAGCTCATTGGTTCTCCTACGGCCAGGCCATCGCCTGTGCCCGTTCCCCCTCCAGGAGCACCCGCCCACTTCTGGTCTCCTAATGAAGGCCCCTCTGTGTCCTTCGGGGTCCCCAGATCAGGCCAGAATCCCCACCCCACCCCTGGAACCTTCGAGCTCCTGGATTCATCTGCCCAACACGTTTGGGAACCCTCCATCGACTGCGGGAGCGTTTCACCTCAATCCCCCCCAGCCCGAGACAGCTGGGCCCATTCCGGCTCCTCGCTTCCCTGCGTTCAGCTCAGGGCCCAACACAAGCATTGGCCCCTCAGTGGACAGAGGTGACCGCAGGAGCACGTCCACGTGCTTGGCGGCCTTCCGTGCCCATTTGCCCGGGGATGTCAGCCGTCAGCCCAGCTTGGTGTCTCCTGGCAAGCCTGCCTCCCTGCCTCTCTTCCAGGTCTGGAACGATTTCATGAACCGCTCCGGGGAGGAGCAGGAGCGGGTTCTTCGCTACCTGGAGGATGAGGGCAGGAGCAAGACGCGGAGGAGAGGCCCTGGCCCTGGCCGTGGGGAGGACCGCAGGAGAGGTGCGGCCAGGCTGGGGCGGTTGTGGGTGGGGCCAGGACATGGATGGG